ACTGAACAATATCGCCTCCATGTATTCCTGCTAATCTCTACTTTTCACAGCACCAGTTTCCCTGTAGAATTCTTTGCCATCAGCCTTTTGCCCACTGGATCCAAAGAAGGGAAAAGAAGGGTGGCAAAATTTTGCATAAAACACTCTCCTACCGTGCCTGCCCGACAGCAGCGTTATTAACTTACCCTTTCAGCCACAATCAGTTAAATACAAAGCCAGACTTGCATTCTTCCTTTATGTATTCGGAAAAGCAAATTCACGTTTATATTTAAAATCCACATTCAAATATTACCACTGGCCAAATCTTACTGTCTTACGGCATCTGAAAGGCCAAATATGCATTTGCAGAAAACCTCCCCACCTCCCCATCCCCTGTTGCCCCCAGAACAACCTTCCACCCCACCCTCAGGCTCTTCCAATACGACAGCATCAGACAGTGCTAGGACACAACCATTAGAGTGTGCCGGTGCTTCCATTACACACACCTGTTTTCAAAAGCTTACAACTGAGCTTTGAAGTTCACTTCATGCTGCAGCTTGGCGTGGGATGTCAGTTCTGGACAAACTGAAGACAATGTTTGACAATTTTTCAGTTGTGAGACATCAGCAACTGATTTATGCAGGTTGAGATTTAACTTTCAACCTTCAAAATAAGATTCCTTCTATTCACTTTTAACATTTTGCAGGGGATTTTTTCACCCCCCCAATGGCTGTTTCTCACAAAGCTGCCTTCCAGAACCCTTCCCACCACACCTGTGGGCACCTAAGCAGAGTCCAACTTTGCAAATACTCCCTTAGGACAGGCCCTGCAAAAGTGGTCTCAGTGATTCCAACACCACTAGACAGGCACTTCCACGGCTTGGTAACAACTTTCTTGTTTTTCCCATGGAGTTTGCGTATGGAGGTCTATATGTAACAACACTCAGTTCTTTTTGCTGGTCTTGGCCCATGCAAGCCGATGATCGATCAACAGTGTTTTTTGTATTTGCTGAACTCCGCAATAAAGGCTGATTCCTTCAAAATAGAACAGAAGACATGCTGTGGTATTGTACTACGGTATTCTAGCTCTCAAATATGTTGCTGTGTTGTTTTAGGCTATGGTCTAACGTCACAGATGTTCCCTTTCTTAAAATGGAGGAAATGATCAGAGCACCATAACCCTTAACTAGGTATTACAGACCTTCACTTTTTAAGAGGATGTAGGGTTTTATTCTTTGGTGGATGATATTTTTTCATTTGATAAGAGAACCCAAGTTGACATGCAGCATGGTTTCCTTTGTAATCTACCTTTACATTAAATATATTTATTACACTGTAAGTATTGAAAGGAGGAAGAATTTGATGGCTGGAATCCACAGATCTGTTCTCTGATGTTTAAAATTTGTGGTTTTGTTTGTGTATTTATGGTGCTACGTACCATTCTATATTGTAACATTCAAACAATTCATCGAAAGTCCAATGGTATAGAAATGCAAAGAAATTGAAATGCTTCAAATACCCCATCAGTTTCACATACCTTCAGTTCTTATGAGCTGCTTCTCTACATGTAAGTAGGGAATATTTCAGATACTCGGACTTAGCCTTGCATCACTAGCACAATTTATGTGGAAGAGAAGTAAATTAAACAGGAACAAAAAATTGCACCATTTGTCACTGTCACTTGAAACTTAAGACTAAAATTTATTTTTTCCAGAATGCTGCATTTTAACAACGGTTGATTCTCTCTTTAGTGTGAAAGCACTGATGTCTCACTTACATTACAACATCTCTCTGGACTACTGGAGCTTTTACGTCTGGCCATCAAATACCACGTCTAGTAAAATGCAGCGTATAGGTACCAAGCTGTTCCTCTCCTGGATAAAACTTCTTTCTACTTAGCAGCCACAAAGCACATGAGACAATGTACTTCAGGGTATTCACTGCACATCTCAGGTGAGTAAAACAATTCCACCTTCACTCTCACACCTCCAGACAGTTCAAGACACAGAATAACCCAGGAACAACCTATCCCAATGTCACTGCTAAAGCTGCTGCAGCCAGGCAAGAAAACTAGCGTAAGCAAGAGATCTGCGGTGCTAAGAAGAAATGTACAAGTTTTATTTTTAAACATCACTGGACGAAAAAATAAAGAGTCATATGGCTTATTTATATTTCAGGAGATGGTAGTGAATAAGTTAAAGAATATTTAATCCCAAAACATATGTTGCTTTCACTTATAGCTAAGCTAATGTACACATACGTTTTCTTATTTTCATAAATGTCAAGCACCCACCTTTTTTCCCCCACAAAGACTTACAAGTACATGCATGGCACTTCCTACAAAGCTGTCGTGGGCTAAAGGCTTACAAACAATGACTTTTTTTGTTTTGAAATAAGAAATATTCATCAGATCAAAATATAATCATTTAAATCAACTTCTTCCTGAGCAACTTAGAATTTGGAATGTGCTGAAAAGTTTCAATAAATAAGTCAAAGATTAACCAGCTTAAAATGTACCTTTTAACAATTAAGTAAAATATATTTCATGACAGACAAATAGGCCATAGGACCAGGAATCTTAGATGCTATGTGCCAGATAAATTTATGAAGTACCATTCAAGGAGGAGAGGCCAGGTTGATTGTTACGAAAAATACAACAACATTAAAACCTAGCGAGTTAATCATTAAACAGGTTTTGTATTTAGGCTATAAGTAGTGATGGCTGAAGATACCGTTAAATAAACAGATAAAAATAGACTTAAGCGGCGGTGAACCTGCAGGAAGGATGAATGTGTTAAGTGACTGACTATTCTGTTACAACGTTGGTAAAAAGGATTCAAACAGAATTTCAGAAAGGCGAGAATATTAGTTTTCTTTCCAAAATATAACAACTCCACAGTGTGTAAACTAATCATTACTCTTTCAATGTAATTTCATAGAAACCACTTAAAATATACAATGCAGCAGATTCATATTTTAGCTAATATGTTAGTTGTTATCTGTGCCATTTTCAGCTTTCTTTAACGTGTTCCCCTACGGTAGTGCATTGCTACCACCAACCTGGAATGTTAATAATGAGAACAGAATCTTCTACGTAATATTTGCTGTAAGTTATCATCGTGTTGTCTTAGCACGATTACACTTCTCTATTTTCATTCTCTGCATGTAGGTATAGTAAAGACTGACTGGTGATGAAGACGGGCCATAACGTTTATTGGCTCTCAGCAGGCTCATAGAAGAGGAAACTCTTGAAAGCACATTCAAGCTTAGCCCAAGTTTATATGCCTTGTCCATCACAAAAGAACTTTTGCTTGTTATTTCAAAATGAAGTATTACCTTGCAGATGGCAGACACGCTGCTGAGGCAGCCGCAGAACAGGAGGCAAAACTTGCCTGGTAGATGTTTGAGAAAGGATGTCAGTTAGACAGAGGTGTATTGCCCCTGAAGTGTTAATGAGACTCATCCTGGCAAGGAGCTGTAACTCCTTGGCCCTACCTCTTTCCCGTGCTCAAGGACAGGAATTTATTGCTATTATCCTCTACTAGTTCAGCTTCCTCTGGTCAACAGAGATGCACAAGAGGCCAAGGCTTCATCAAGACCCCCAAAACCCCCCTATTCTGCTACGGAGCAGACATCCAAATAGCTCTGCTCATTGCTGCATGCAGGTCTGTCACTTCTGCACCACTAGTCCTGGCAGGCTGTCAAATAGCTGTCACAGGGAACCCCAGAGACACCCACCTTAAAGACAACAACATGTCATGTATCGGAGCTATTCACCTTTCCCCTCCCAGCCTCCACCCATCTCCTTTCTAGTGTTTGCTGACAGTACTTGTAATAATTAACACGGGTAAACTTTCACAGTGACTCTCTAAACAACGTATCATTGAATCGACTTCAGTTTCACAGAGCACGCTGCTGCCTTCTCTTTGCCATTCTGAAACGTTTCAGCTAGAGAAGTTGTGTATGTCCATATTGGTAACTTTACTCCGAGCCATGCTAAAAGCAGGTGTCTGGCGTTTGTGCTGGTGGGGCAGCTGCGTTCAGCTTCAGATGTGAACAACTAAACTCTGTGACTGCAGAAGTACTGGTCATGCTTAATAGGAGTTCCAGATCATCTAAGTTTTTTAATGAGTGACTTTTTCTGTATCTCTTTGGATTTGTGACCCATAAGAAGAATAAAAATCTACAAACGCCCTTCCCAAACGTAAAAACTGTACGCTGCACCTTTTCTTTCAGTCTAATAGAAACATACTCAATTGCAGAAACAAAACTCTACAGTTAGGCAACCTTGCCTTGGACTTTTCATCTGTTGTTGCCACTCACTGACCTGGTAATTTTTTCCACTCTATGAACTAGAAGGGTTTACCAAAAACATCTGGTTCCTGTAACTTGCCTTATGTCCACTAATATTAATTTGCCAGAATAGCAGCCTCGCTCCTCCCGCATGGGGTAATTCGGAAGCCATTATCTAGCCCCTCTCTGAGCCTGTTATCCTCGATGCACACAGACATAGCAATGACTCTGACTGTACCACTGGGATACCAGTGCGCTCTGGGCAGAAAAAGGCACTCTTCCAAAATGGCTCAGTGCCCATAGTCCGCATTGCCGGTACTTAGTGCCGCAGTGTTAATGCAATGAAGACTTGTTTCCGGAGAAAGAGAGAGACAATAGTCTGTAAAATTTACTTTGCAAGACAGCCTAATCTATTCTCTTATGTTTCGCAGGTGCCCAGAGGACTATTGTGTACTCCAAAAGCTATTTTGTGATAGACAGTAGATGCCTCTCTCTTGAACTATGCTATAGGAAGGATGCTGTAGAGCCAACACCATATAATGAATCAAACCCGCAAAACCAGGTATCTCCCGATGGTCCCAGCATGTGGGAGTGGTCTCTCTCATTCCATTTCAAATGCTGCTGCACATGAACTCAGTTCCTTAAGGAATTACTTTTAATAATAATTAAAAAAAAATCTTAAGAAATCTGGAGGGGTCACCAGAAGAGAAAGGATAGCTCTTCCATCTATCACCTTTTATAGATATCCTCTAGCCACTTTTCATCATCTTCTTCCTCATCGTCTATCGGTTCCTCTGTTTCCAGGGGAGAAGGAATGAAGAACTCAGGTCTGGGACGTGCTTTCCTGATATGAGACTTCAGTCCAAACTTGCGCTTTAGGAGGTGGAACTGTTCTTTTACATAGTAATAAAACTCGTATTCGTATCTCATGCGTTGGTAGAGGATCTGTATTGCTTCGGGAGAGGGGACGGTCTTTTTCACTGTCACAGTCAGATTGCCAAGTTTCCTATGTTCTGTAAAAAAAAAAAAGAAAACAAGGAACGTGGTAGGTGCTGATTAATGAGACCAGAACTAAATGTTTTTTGTTAAAAGATTAAGGCATGGCCCTACTGTATTACTGATACAAAGGAGCTCATTCTGTTTCCTTAGTAATGGATTCACTTTTAGCGAGAGATGAAAAAATGTGTTTAAAGTTAGACTTGCATGTTGAAATACGGCTAGTTCACACACGGCATTTGGCATTGCGTGTTAGTCACCGAGGATCTCAATTGGCAATGGTTATCTGCAGATGTAAATTAGGTCATACCAATTATTAGTATAAACTACAGGTAGGGAAACCCATAATCTTGCCTAGCTTTGGAAATTTTGCCTGACGCATGTGAAGTATATATCCAGCACGCAGCTCAGCTGAGCTAATCAATTACTTCCTATGTGACATACTACGTTGTGTCTTCTCAGTTGTGCTTTATTATTGTTCAAATCTAAACAGATATATCTCAACCTGAATCCACCTCAGGCTAGCACTGAAGCATTTGTTGGCATCACCATATGACACCTTAAGACCATATGTGCTTGTTGACTTTCTCATCCTGTTACACTTGTTAATTAAACTAGACTCATTTTCCTGCCATGCCCTGGGACTGGAAGATTTCAGTATGTTTTTCTTCACCTGATAACTTTTGCTTTGGTAAACTGAAATAAAACACCTTTAATGTTGATAAAGAATTAGAGTTACTAACAAAAATATTGAATTGCCTCTTTGTCTCCTCTCTCAATAGATTATTCTGCCATTAGAGATTAATACATTTGAACAAGATGTAGAGGAAACTCTTAAGGCAATCCTTTTGCTGTTTTCTACCAGATGGCAAGAGGCTGCCAGAACATCCTAAGTATTTTCTTCTTCTCCAAGACAGAAACGTAGCTGAAAGTCAACTGTGAAGAGGAGACCAGTAAAAGCTGGAAGTAGTGACCCGTAGCATCACTGTATCCCACCTAACATCTGCAACTTTCTTTAGGAGAAAAGGAGATAAATGTAATGCTGATGAAGTACAAGCTTCCCTAATGAGCTTTTCTGAAACCTCAGTGCTCCAGTCCAGTAAGCCTCATGTGTTACTCTGGGAGAATGTGATGCCCATGGAAATAACAGTAATATCCTCAGGATACACCTGGGTCCAGACACCACAAGATGAATGGGCTTGCATGGAAGCAAGGAGATGACAGTTAGACATTAGTAAAAAACCTTTTTCATGGCAAGGATAGATAAGCAGTGCAGTAGAGCACACAAGTTACAAAAGCTGTACTTCTGGAGGATTTTAAGAGCAGATTAATTGATTCTTTTCTGAGGGAAACCACTTGACTAGGGGATATCTTAAGGCCCTTTTCCATGACTCTAAACCAAATAGATTAATTTTTATCTTGTCAGTCCTTACTTTCTTGCTCTTTGTTACAACGGCAAGTAGTAATACTACATGAGACAGCAAGTGCTGCTGGGCTGGACATTCTCATATTCATTTCACTTCACTGTGTCGCACACATTTGGTGCAGAAGATAAAAGTTATACACGAAAGGTATTCTGCTCCTCTGTTTTGCTTACCAATTACAGCAGAGTAATTTGAAATGCAGGAAGAATATGATATAAAGAGAGAATAGCTTACCAAACTACAGTTCTAAATCACAAAATAATTATTTAAAGCATTAATTATATTTTGCATTTGTACTTTTAATTCCTTCTCTAAAGGAAGAATCATTTTCATTAGTTGGTAATGATTAAAACATACTGCTCTGTAATTAAACGGAGCTTTTACATCAAACTTTGTAGATCTTTACATTGAAATCTGTCTACTCATATAGCTGAGCAATTAAACAACTTAGTACACAGAGTTCTTTGTACTTTAATTACAATAATGTATGGTGATATATGCTCTATACTTACTGACTGTTCACAGTTATCAATTTGTATAGTTTTATTTAGATAGAAGTGATTAAAAAATACAAAAACTGAATTAAAAACAAAGAAGTGATCTTTAACATGCTATGCAGCTAAGAAAAAGTGTAGAGGCAGAATCATGAAATGCTTGCATTTAAAGTAGACATTAGCACAGAAAGCACTACCTGTAGCTAGTGATTGGGGTGAAATATTTTTGGTGAAAATACTTGGTTTCCTCAAAAGCTTCCTCTCTTCTACACCACACCTTTACCCATAGACTGAAATAGACTAACGAATGTCTTAACTTTTTAAATTCTCAGTCAGTTGTTCAAGTTGCAATTGATAGGTGTCAGATGAAGGTGTCAGTGTCCTCAGGGAAGGACACTGTACTCAGTCTGTCCTTGGGTGAGAAAGAAACCGCTGCCTTATGGTTATTAAGCACTTCAAGACATTTCTCTTTCTAGTGCTTAGCTGGTAGCTCCCACCAGCTTTGCAATCTGGTTTTCTTTACAAACTCAGCAGCAAATATACACTACTAAATACTGCATTTATTAAGCTTAAGCCTTTATACTGCTTGCCAACTTCATTTTTATTTCACATAGGTTATTTCTGTTACAGAAAACTCCATTTACATTGCTGGAAAAAGCTCTTCACTTATACGGTCCCTCCAGGACTCTCACCGGGAAAAGCCACTTCTTACAGCTTCAGCTCCCTTTGGTGGCTGCTCCTCCCAGCAGAGAGGGGCACTTGTGTTCGGCCCAGGAGTGCTGCCAATGATGACAAGGTGAAAAGCGCTAGACTGTTTTCTTGGGGGAGAGCGGTCAGTGTGGGGCAGGACCAGTCAAAGGGGAATTTACTGGCGGTGCGCCAGGCAGGGAGTGCCCACCAGCACCCTATCTGCCAAAGCTGCCAGGTGCTGCATGGCACCTCGTAGCGGTCAGCGAGAAAGCAGCAAAATAGACTCCTCACCTGAATTTGCAGTAGTCATGACACAGAGGATTCCTGGATGCGTGCAATTCTTTGCTTTATGCGCACACCTATGTGTAATAGATGTATACATACCTATAGATAGAAACACTCACACTCTGGAAAACTACAGAAGCAACGCAGGTTTCTCTGGCTTCTGCTGGTTCACCTCACAGTATAATCATCAGTAACTGCAGCTCATAAATGGCTGTGAGGTGCTGGTTGTTAGATGGTGCGAGTTGGGGCTGTGCCTGGCTGCAGGCTCAGCCTTTTGATAAAACAAGTGAACTCCGCTTTTTTTGCACTTGAATTTTATTTAGACTGGTTTCTAATCTGAAATACTCTTAAAAGGCTCTTTAATACAAATATGAATGAAATCACAGAACTGCCCCTTGAAGTCACCTTAACCACCTCTCCTCATCATAGAAGCAAAATGGAAAAATTAGGTAGATCTGGCTTAAAGCCAAAATAACAATCTGCATATGTTGCATAAACCCAGCTGCCCCACCAAAGGACCCCCATTTTATGACCTTTGAGACAGCTAACCATATGGAGGGCAACAAACTACACCATTTACTTTTCAGGATTTTTTTTTTAAACCATGTTTGCTTTGGCATTCTTTTAAATTACTAAAAAGAACGTACTATACAGTAACCCAAACTCCTAGTGCAGCCTGCTTATGCACTGAATTAAGACTAAATTGGTATGCAGATATGGATGAAGAAAATTAAATTCTTTTGGGTTACCAGGTGGTGAATACTTACCATTACTTTCTCCATTCTCACTTTTTTTTTTAACAAGAAACCAGTGTTACTCACTGCAGTAATACAAACCATAGGGAAAAGCGGTTTTTATACTTTGTGGCTCAAAAAACCCTTGGATTGCCATATTTAGACAAAATGATCTTAAAGGCATTCTCCACCTCAAAAGAGAATTTGGGAATGACACTCTCCAGCGCCCCGCCGTTTTGGCGGGCGCGACGCAGAGGTCTGCTCCCCAGTGCTGCTTCGCTGCTCCTGGATGAAGCCGCAGGGAGCCCAGCGCCCTCGAGGATCCGGTGGGGAGAGGTGAGCCAGGCTGAAGCCAGCGCAGGAGCTCACCCGGCTAATGCTCATGGTGGAAAAACCCCATGCCGAGCTCTGCTGCTTTAAGGCTGTGTTTCACACGATGGCTGTCACAGATATAGTAAACTCATTTCCTGGAACTACACGGGGAGGCCCTGCGTTTCGATCGTACGCAGCTGAGCTACAGGACATAGCTACTTCTCCACAGTTTTAAATGGAAATAGACGTATGTGACTGTGGTTAGATGTGACGTACGAATCGGTGAGGGTCTCTGCTTGACATGCCACTCAAACGATCGCCGCGGTGCTAACGCAGGGCTCTGATGGCTATGCTAGAAATGATCTCCCCTCAAAATAGCGAACTGCAGCTCAGCATAAAATTTTCTGGCACAATTGATCTGCTTTTCAAACTTGAAATGTTTAGCTGGGCTCTTGAAGGATATTTGGGAAAGGATGAGACGCTAATGTGTTTGGCTCACGTGCCATCTTTCCGATGGCCATGGGGCTGCTACCGCTCGGAAGCGTGCCAGGGCTGGGACAGGTCCCAGGCGGTAGGAGGGATGGTGTACCGTGGCCGTACTGTGCGACTGAGCGCCTCGTGTAGGCTCATATTTGCTAAAGGAAAGCAGGGACAGTGGAGAAAACCGACTGGGAGTGTATTAAAAACCAAAGCTGATGAAAAAGTGATAATTTGTCCCATAGCATCTACTAGCTTTATCTGTCTGAAATACTACAAATCTCAATTATTAACCTCCTCACTGCTAGTTTACCCTCTTCTTTGTTATTCACATCAACAAAATAAGGTGTAAATTTTAACAACATGTAGATAAAGATTAGACACTCATGCATACTGAGGACAATTACGCTAGGCTCACTAACAATGCTTGCTTTGTTTTAGCATTCCTTTCCTGAATTATTGCGCTGCTTTGATGACATGGAACAATCCCTAACTCCAGTGGAACAATCCCTAACTCCAGGGGATTAGGAGAACTCATCCCACTGGCACACAGAAATGTCCCATCTCCTAAAGGTCAGATATGGATCTCTCTGAAACGATA